GGGTGCAGCCAGCGAGCTGGGAAAGCAACCCCAGCCAGCGGAGGGGCGTGCGGGAGGCCAGCGGGGATGGGATTAACAGAGGATTATCCACAGTCCAGTTGCGGCAAGTAAAGAAAATCCTGGAACCTGCACTGTGCTGTTCAGTTAGAGTTCAGCCTCGGGACACGCTCAGCGGAGGATCAGTCTGATACCTCCCGCGCTGGCTGCGTCTGACCTTTCCCAGCACCGCTGTTCAGTGCTTCCCAGCCACCCCGCTCCCCACCCTGCCCTCCCGGAGACCTTCAGCAGCCCTGGCAGAAACACCCCCTTACGTGCAGAGCTACTTTTCCTGCACAGGACCTGTCGAGAAAGGCAATCTGGGTGTCCCCGCAAGTGTCCCTGCACTGAAACATCCTTCCCACTGCAGAGAGGGCAGCGCTGCGGTCACCCGCAAGGTCCTCCCTGCCCCGCTCCAAGCTCTGCGGCTGATGGGGACAGGCTGGGCCACCCCTACCCAGTGCTAGTGGGGGCAAGAGCAAGGGAGGGAGGTGTTTTGTTTTGGCACGGGATAGTTGTCCGCTCTGCTTAGGCAGAGGGGGAATAAACCACTCGCTGCTGCAAACACGCCATCACCCAGCTGCCCACCCTTCGCCCCCACAGCCCTGCTCCCCGCCAGGCCAGGGCACTCACGTGCAGGGTCCCTGCGCTGCTGAAGTCAATGTTGAGGCCAACTTGGTTGCAAAACTCCATGAGGTCTTTCAGCAGCTTGGTTTGGGGTGGGGGGTGGCGGCGAAGCAGCGCCTGCTCAGGGAAGGAGCGGTAGATCTGATGGGCCACAGCCATGTTCGCCAGCAGCATGAACTCTTCCACCAGCCTGGAGAAGGAGAAAAACAACCCCGGGCCCCGGTTAGAGAGGGGGGTCCCCTGGGAAGCCAAGGCAGTCCGTAGCGATGAGAACTAATACGACACGGGGGGATGGGGGAGCAGCTTGCTGTTGCTGTTATAAGCGCAGATTAGATGTGAGACTGCAGCAAATCCCCCTCCAAATTCTCACTTTCTAGCTGAGGCTTCCCCAGGGACTCAGCCCAAGCTGTCCTGCTGGTGCAGACGAGCAGAAGTCAGTGATAAATTGACAGCTTAAATTAGGATAAAATAATCTCCCTTTAGGTCATTTTATCTCCTGAAACGCTCAACAAGCAAAACAAACACTGTGTGAGAGATAGCACAGAAAACAAACACACATCCTTGTCTTCCCGGGCCAGAGAAAACAGCGTCTTGCTTGCTCCCCATCCCGAGCTCGACATGTGTGGTCAAGCCCAGACACCGAGCCCAGCCTTCACACCAGGCTTCCACCCAGAGCACAGTTCGGGCGCAGCCCCGGGCAGGGCAAGCCACCAGCGCAGCTCGTCGCAGGGTGCCTCCAGCATCCAGGCGATGCAAGGACTCCGGGGGCTTCTCCCTGCAAACTGAAGACTGCTGGGGGTACCCCTGGCTGGGGTGAGCCCCCCCCACCTTCCACCTCTGAGTGTGCACGTGTTGAATGGAAATCTTCAGGGCTGTGCGCTGCAAAGAAAAGCAATCCCAGCGCTAGAGATGGTCTTTGGAGCGCTTCTGGGTTGTGCGACCAGCTGTAGGGCTGTGCCACAGGAGACCTGTTTAACTGGGCTTAGATAAGCAGAGAGATGTGCTTAACTGGGCTTTCTGCTATTTGCTGCATGTATTCCCAGGGCTCCTAACTAGTGCTAATTGCCAAAAAAGATAATAGATTTACAGAAGTAACCTCATCCTCCGAGCAATGCCCGTGCAAGCTGTCACTGATTACGCTGGCTCAGCCCTGTCCCTGCTGCAGGAAAAGCTGGGATTTTGCAGGGTGGGCTGGAGCTGGGGGTCCTGCAGCTCCCGGCCATCGCTGGGGGGACTGGCCAGGCGAGATGTGCAGGGTGCTGTGCTCCTGGGGCAATTGCTACAGCAGCGATACACTCCCAGCCTGGGAGTACTTGCCAAGAACTTGAAAGAGAAAGGAGATAAAGACAAGCCCAGAGGAGGAATAAGCACCTAACGGTGATAACCAGCAGTAGAAATGTTCTACTGGGAAGGAGTTCCCTTAGTAAGAGCCTTGTGGGTTCTCCCAGAGCGTATAGTGCCAGAGGCCAACCCCTCAGACCCCGCAGGGAGGGCAGGAGGGACACCATTGTGTGTGGGCAGTGCGGGAACAGGAGGGGAGCAGCACAGCTGCAGCAGGAACGGGCCACCCACCCTGTCCCCTGACACACCGGCTGACGGGCCGATGCCACCAGAAGGCCAAGGACTGGGTCAGGGGGTGGGCAAGGCGCCTGCAGCCCAGCGTGGGAGTGGGGGCCAAACACACTCATGTGAGGGGCGACTTCCAGGCGGGCTGAGCCAAGCTCCTGCTGCTCCTGTGCAGGTATGCCACCAGATGGCAACATCGGTCCCTCTATGGCCACCGGCACTGGGGGGCTGCAGGGCAGCATGGCCCAAGGGTGCTGGGCACCCCAGCCATGCAGCACCCAGGGGTGGGCAGAGCCGGGCACGGTACGGCATGGACACCCCCATCGCCTGGGCGCAGGTGGACCCGCCAGCTCTCACCCAGCTGCCACGCTTGCAGATGGCACGTGGGACCGGTGGCCTGAGGACAAGGGCAAGGCTTCGCTGGCACCATGCTCATACCTGGGAAGCTCCTTCTGCCGCAGCCAGCTCATAGCAAGGCACAGCAAACAGCCGGGGCTGTGAAAGGCTGCGGCTCTCCTTCCTGGGGGCTTTGGTGCGAAGCAAAAGGGAGACGTGCCCAGCGCCAGCCCCAGCTGCACACGTGGGCTAAGGCTGGCCGGGGACCCCTGCGGCTCCCTTGAAATGCGGCCTCTGCGGGGTGAGGTGCAAACCCATTAAAAAAAAAAAGCAATAAACACGCATGAACAGCATCTCCTCTGTCACAGGCACAACACGCTTATCTCATCTCCTAGAGACCAACACCGCAAGCGAGCGCTCCAGCAGGCGCTGCCATCCTCGCTCCCGTTGAGCACTGGAGTGCGAAGCCTTCACCTTTCACCTCCATCCACACTTTGGGCTGGATGCAATTTCCACCTGATTATTAAGGGCTTCATTTTGTTTTACCATTTTGGGGCTTGGGTTTTTACGTTTTCCTGGAGATGTCCTTGTTCTGATGTCGTAGATAGTACTGAACTGAAGCCAAGACCTAAGCACCCTCCTGCCAGGGATGCTTTTACACCCGAAGGAAAAATAACAGCACATACATCCCACTTTGCTCTGCAAAATCCCATCTTCTCTCCTTTCAACATGTCCACAAACAGAGCCCCAGCCCCCAGACAGCATCAAAGACAGCCCCCATCAATACGAGGTAACGGGCACATGGTTGGGTTGACTGCATGGGCAGGAAAATGTTATCAGGAAGCAGCCAGGACCTCTGCACCCACGACAGGGTGTGCAGGATGCAATCATAGATACTCAGAACTGAAAAGCTATTTGTCTTGTTTGCTCACACAAAGGCAGGGGCAGGCTCTGGGAGACGTGGCTGCGGTCTGGGGTACCAAGGAGCAGATAACACGGACGAGGTTGGACACTGCTCTGTGTCTGGAGGGAAGAGAAGCCCTAGAACCCGATGGGTGGGCTTGTGTCAGCTCAGGTTAATGAACCACAGTGCTCTGGAAGGCTGCAATGTCCCGTGGGTTGATGCCAAAACACCCTGCAGGGCTGGAGGGTCCTTCCCAGCTCTGAATCACCCGGGGGTTGTAGAGCTGCTCCCCACACGAGCCCCATTGCAGCAGCCCTGCAAGCATGGAAGGGATGAACACCATGGGGCTGCTCCATGCATGAGATGCTGGAGACTCGGGAGCCCGAGCCAGGGCTGGGCCAGCCCATGAAGCCTCGGCTTCAGGTGCCGAGGAGCAGGCGGCCACAGTAAAGCTGCTGCCCTCCTCCTCTCCCCATGTGGCCTCTTAGCTGCACTTCCAGCTAGTGTCCTCACCAGGGCTTCGACCCAGCCAGCGCTGTGCCGCAGCTCGGGAAAAGGCAATGGATGCTGAGGCAGACGGGAGCGGAGGCTGGCTGGCAGCGGCTGGGGGCCAGACCAGTGCCTGGCACTGGTGTTACTGGGAGCCGCGCTGAAGCCCTGCTAACTCATCAGCAGGTCAAATGACAAGAGGGGTTTTTTTTTTTTTCTTTTTTTCTTAAAACAGCCTAGCTCGGAGTTTGGCTCGGTGCATCTGGCAGATGGGAGTGCAAAGAAAAATATTTCATGGCTAAAAAAATGGAGACAGAAAGACTGGTCCATCTGAACGCGCTGAATGAATCCCATGTGAAATGCATTCTAACGCCATCGCTACAGTTTCCTCTGGATTCGCTGAGCTATCCTTGGCTCCTGGCTCCATAAAATCCCATAAACAATCTGATCTGAACTTTTGCCCTTTCTGTGCTGATGTGAAGGCTTCCTCCGCTGTCCCGCAGAGAGGTCTGGGGGTTAGCAGGTGTCAGTCGCTGCCGTAGGTGCCTGTGGATCCCGGCGCTTCCAAACCTGTTCAATGCATCATTTAACATGTGCACATGCAAGAGGGAGGAGAGGGAGGGGCGGGACGGCTTGCGAGCTCTGTAACATGCATAAGCATCTTCTGCCGGCTCTTTCAATACCCAGATTTTGCTTTTGAGTTATGGGCTTGGTGCGGGAGTCAGTAGGTGAAATTCTATAGCCTGCCTTGTGCAAGAGGTCAGCCTGATTTGTATGGTTTTCAAATGCAATCGCCTCTCAGCTTCAAACATGATCAAGGCATGCCAGCTCCTAAATCCCACCAACTGCCGGAGACTTCAGGACATTTCAGGCTCCTGAGATGCTCTTAAACAGAGGACTTGGTGCTTTGCAAAGCACCATATATGATGGTCACGGCTCCCGTAGGCAGACAGCCATCTCCGGAACCATCCAGCTGGAGGACTGATGACATCTTGACGGCAGCCCCAAACCCAAGCTACTGGGCTGTAACTCCTCTCACCCAGCTCTGAGCAGAGCCAAACATCCGTGCGACACAAGACAAGAAGCTGCACATTCAGACCCAGGAATTGCTTTAGTAGCAGCATTACTATTTACTCTGTAAAAGATTACTAGACCCTTCCCAATCTTTTGATAGCAACCTTTAAAAACTCCTCACATCCTCGGCAAGTTGGTTTGCTGATGGCAAATAACATATTGGTTTCTCATGCCAAATCTCCGCAGAGTGGAGCAGGGCAACTAAAATGCCTGTTTGGCGGCTGGTCTCCATGGCAATGCGGCCAGGCTCTACAGCAGCCATCGCAGTGCCCACTCTCCCTGATTAACTTGACAAATGACATTAACTGAGCAAGGTTTGCTGCACGGGAGAGACAAGGAGTACTTTGTTTGCAATCCAGTAAGTGCAGGAACGAGGCAGGCGGCTTGGTTAAAGCAAAGCGACATTAAAACATCTGCTGTTCCAGCAGCGTAACAGCCCTGTAGGCTTCAGAGCCAACGGCAGCGAGGTGGGGCTGAACAGATGAGCACAGCTCTTGCCCCCGCGCCGCCTTCTCCACCTCCTTCCCCTCCTGCAAGATGCAACCACTGGGTGTATCCAGGCGTTGGAAGTGTTCTCGTAGCTGAGGTGAAGACTCAGAGATAAACCCAAAAGACCACGCACCTCTCCCATGGCAGAGGGGTTTTTGGTTTTGACACAGTGGAGAAGTTGGTCCTTTCTTCACGTGTAGCTCATTGTGGAAACCTGCTCCCGAAGGGATAGAGCTGAACCACCCTGAGCTAGAGTCCGAGTCCCCTTCCAATGGTCCATCCGGCTGGGTGAGCTGCCACCAGGTGAATCCCACCATCTCCTCAGCATCTCA